AGCTTCATATTTCTCTCTCTGGGCATACAGCAGTTTTTAACTGCATGAAAGAGATGCTGAATATGTTTTCCATATGACATCTATAGTGAAACACAGGGATCACAGGACAGGAGTACAAAGTACAAATCCTTCCCACTCTAGACAGAAAAACAAGTGACTCAATAGCCACGCTGAAATGTGAGAGTTGATCACAAATATACACTTATTTCTGTCTAGAACCCAAAAAATCTCAGGGCAGCTGTTAAAGGCTGCTGAAATCAAAGGAAATTATTTTATAGGCACCAGCGGGATATTCCTTACTATACCACTTCATCCACATACTTCAGGCAGTTTTCAGCTCCTCCCTCACTGGTCATATACTCGAAAATGAGATACAGGATTAACACCTATCAAGGAGCAAATAGGGAAGTACACAAACAACCTAACATAGCAGCACTAAAAGGGCTTAAGTCGATAGTAGCTCTGAAACCTACCAAAATCACATAACCACCCGTATGATTCAGATTTCACTGTAAGGAAATGATGACAGAGGGAATAAGTGAACCAAGAATCCTAGGTAACTGCTTTCTTTGGCAGAGCCAGCCTTCCTGGAGAGTCTAGAAAAGGACGTTTTCTTACTTTCCTCACTTTTCTCCAGTTCCACCTGTCACAATAGCTACCTTTGAAAAGGATGACTAGAACCAATGGTCTGAAAGGCTGCCAAACAGATGCAACAGGTTGTCCTGTAACTAGTTTAACAAAATAATGTACTGCATTAAGCTACTCATGATTACAGTTTCAAACTCTGCAGTCCTGTGCTACAAACTTACTTTGTATTTCATTACAATCAAATAATAAGTTGTTGATTTACAGTTTCTATCTATATACTCACAGTGCAAGCAGAATGTGACCTGGAAGAGATAAATGGGAAAAAAAAAGAAAAATAATTGAAGGCAGATGAGAAGCTGCTTCTTTCACAACCAAAGGTGCAAAGAGCATTCTCAATAAGCCAGGTAAGCAACAAACATGGTTGTTAGAGAATATTTATGACAGCATCCACTGTGTAACATCACTGAAGCGTGCACAATGGGAGCAAGCTTTCTAGAAAATATATCTACAAAACAGACATGCAGTTAGGTCTAACTATCAATCATCTGGACATGTGAATAAATCTAAAGTCAGTGGTCCATGTTCTGTTAAAATCAACTTCTACCATACAGAAATCTTGCTGCCCAGTAAATAAGTAAATAAGCTTCTGCTGCCCACAGAAGTTAAAATATATTATACAAACTATCAGAATAATAATATCACAGCTACTAGGCCAGCAAAAGTTTTAATATTTAGATCTTACCGAGAGTAAAGTGTACTTACAATGACTGGTTATATATTCTGTTTAAGTTATATAGGTTTAAGATCCTATCACATTGAAACAATCAGATTTTTTTGTGTTTTGGTTTTTATTTCATTTTATAATTTACATTCTTTAAGTCAGTGCTTACTGATCCACGAGAGCACATCTATATGGACTATTTAAGTCTCCTCTCCCCTGGAAGTGTGTGTGTAACTCCCATTAATGCTAATGGGCATAAAGCACACACATAGAGGAGAAAATAGACCCCTCACTGTGAAAATAAATGTGTTCAGTTATTTTCAGATGCGATGCTGAAATCAAACAACTAAAACTACATACTCTAAGGAGATAACATTGTACAGCCTAACTGAAAATGTCACCACTATTTTAAACTCCCTGGTCATGGACCCTGACATGTTCTTTATGTTTCTGACATTTCCTGTGTCATAAAAACCATGACTGGATAACATATCAACAAGGGCCAAACCCTAAATTCTTACACAAGCAAAAGCATCCCAGATCTCACACTCCTTGCCTTCACAAAGGACGCAAGGTTAGCCCTCATGTCCTATGTTTTTCACTTCGGTCATATGTTTTCTCTTTACACCGTATGGGTTAATAGCAGCAGTAAACTTTACTGCTCTCTAGGATAGTTCCTTAAAACCATGATGAATCTACCAAAGTAAAAATTCCTACCAGTTATTTCTTTTCCTTAATGATTTGATAACCTGATGTTTTCTGTTTTAATCAAAATTAATGGAGTCAATGCTGTCTGTTTAAACAGGTAAGAAAAATTGTTTATCTGGTGATGTGAAATTCAAAGACACTGTGCTTTATTAAAATACAAATATAATCACTTTTTTTCTAATGGAAGCAATGTTTTATGCATTTACAGCTAATCTAACATGGTATTTGGAACAGTCACAAGAAAAGAAAGGTTTTAAAAAGGGTGCAGTATAAGTGGAGCATGAATGGTTTTGGTAGTGTATTTAGGGTCTTTGTAAAGTGGCCTGCTGACTTTCTAATGCAAGTAATCACACCCATCTTCCCAAATCAGAGAGATGCACCTTCAAACAAGTGGATGCTACTGAGTTATCAGTCAGGCAGGGATGAGTTCTTCCAGTGATGAGGCCTTTTCAGAAGCTGATGTTGTAGGAGATGGGAAGAGCGATTGCTGAAAGGTCAACTGTCACAGCTTAGTGTCAGGATTTGCAACACTTCTGGGTCAAATACGAAAGTTAGGTCCTGCCAAGTGCTGTACAGTCCAGCTCCCAGCCCCTCGACTCCAGCCACATGCTCACTCATCTATTCCTACACTGAGTCAGTTCATGAAGAAAAATAGTCCAAAGAAAACAAACCAAACAAATAAATACTTCTCTACTGATCTGCCTCCCACCACACAACAGGAGTGCTAACAAGCACTGCTACCTACACAAAAACTGGGCAGTGAGGAATATGGGTAGAGGTGGCTGGGAGGGGAAGGGCTGCCCCTTTTAAACTGTCAGACCAACCCCGCCACATCCCAAAATCAAACCCATACAAAAAGGACAGTCAAAGGAGGATGCCAGCTGAGACAAGGAACTGGCTGGTGACTGCACACTGAAGTAAAGCAGAGCCTTAGAGGCTGCCATTTTTCTGCCAGACACTTCCAAAAGTGCATATGCACGCTATGAGTCCCCCATGTGTCATGGCTGAGGACAGCTAAGCATGGATTCACTCATCAAAGAGCTCTTTATGGACTGGCATACAGGGTTAATGACCAAAGAGGTTGTTATTCACTGTATATGCCCCCTCAGTTCCAGACTCTTGAGCTGCAAAGCATTTCTGCATCTCACTTGAGGCTTTATAGTGAGAAAAGCTGGGCTGGAGAATATATGAACACCCTTCTTTTCCAAATCAGAAAAAGGCACTACAATACAGCAGCCCCAGTAGCATCTGAAGTTGCTGCAGTCCAGATCACCTCTTCTGAATTTGATACAGGAATTACGGCAGAGACTGATACTGCCAGAATGAACAAGGCAACAAATTAATGAGTTCCTTCATTCCTTACAGGAGAGGAGGAGGGTTTACAATGGTCTGTCAGCAGCCATGTGAATGGACATCCATTGGTTTACATAACTGCATACAGAGCTGAGCTGGAGATACTGAGGCTCTGCACGGGCAGGACATGCAACATCTGTGAAGCAAAGCCCTTTATGTACCACTGAACTGGACTCACACAAATCAATACTGTTGAATGACTCTCTTTTCTTCTTCAAGTAATAGAAGCCTGTCTTTTTTTATCCGGGTGTATCGCTGTGACTCATTTTGCAAGCTGACGTCTGATTACATAGAGGAAAGGCCAAAACCTTAAAATATTACTACTTCTGTATAGAACACTAAATCTATTTTCTCCTGAGTGAGTTTGCAGGAGTAAACAATCCTATGAATGATTTGGTGTATGATATGAAAAAGAGACATTTCTACAGCCCATCTCCCAGAAAAGATCGCTCTGTGCTGTCATCAAAGACATTTCCATAGCCTGTCGTATCACTTGAAAGACAGAAAAAACACCTTTTCAGAACAATCATGTAAAAATGAAAAATAAATAAAACCAGCCTGACTTGCCAGCATCACAGTGGAAATCTGAGCACAGTAACCTTAGACAATTTAGAGATTATGCTAACAATATGGCAAGAAGTTTCAGCAAACATTTGTGAGGAAGGGCAACTCCTGCACAAGTGAATGCAATCCAAAAATATGAGTCACACACAAGCAATTTTGCTATGGGCCATAAAATCACTTTATGAGAGTTACAGATAATTCTGTATGCATTCTATAATGTTTCCCTACTGTGTAGAGATGGATATCTCAGTATCCTATCACAGATAATGATGGAAAACAAATTCTCTACATAAAAGCTGATTGCTCAGAGATTCACTCTTAACTGTTCCAAGGGATTGTAATGCCAATGGAACACTTTATACAGCATTCATCAACAAAGAGGTAGATTCATCACTGCCAAACACACTGCAGTTTAGGTATTTGTTATAAGATGTAGCAGAGTGAATTGAGAGCAGCCTTAGACATAAAACATGCATCCTGCTATTCTCAGCACCTGCATACTCTTTTATCACACATGCACCTACCATCCTCCACAATGACACCTCTCATTTCCTCCTGTTAGTACTTTTGCACATATTGAGACATATGAAGCATCATGCAGTATCAAAAGAACAGATGCATTCTGTACCTCTCATGCTGAGAAAAATGTACAGCATTAAGCCAGTCATAAAATAAGAGCTACTGGAAAGGTGAATCCTTCAGGACTAACTTCAGAACAGCACAGTCTCTTTTTGCACCTCGATTTTTCTCTTTATATTCTTTTAAGTTTGTCCAACTGTACCCATAGAACCATTAAAAAAACAGTTTTAAAAACAGTGAAAACTTTCAAAAGAGACTTCTCTCATGAGCTTTTAATGAGTTAACTCTTTTACAAGGTAACTTTATGACTAACACACGTTGGCAACCCAAATTCAGTGGGGACTCCACTGAAAGAAATCTGGCTTATTCTTTCTCAAACTTGGATGTTTCAATCCCCAGGATGAATTTAACAAACAAACCAAACCAAACCCAAACAAACAAACAAAAAGCCAAACCAAACCCACAAACCCCCCCAAAACAATAATACCTCTCCAACATCATAGATCCATATGTGGCCTTCTGAATCACCAACTGCTACCTCCTTCCCAGCCTGGGCCCAGCGGACACGGTTGAGGGCAGAGGCTCCTTCTATGGTGACGCTGGCTGTGGGAACCTGTTGAAACAATAGGAACAGGAAGGACAATAAAATCACACTGCCTACAAACCCAGGGTCAGTTTTGAATGTCCTGCTTAGCTGGGTGAGCCAAAGTCCCTTGGCATTTCTGGAAGAAACACACAACCCTCAGTAGGGGGAGAAAAAAAAAGGGTTCATTATTTCTTTGATCACATGTGCTAAAAAGAGGAAAGAGTAAGAGATTGCAAGAGCAGGCAAGACTTTTCCGTGAGAAAGGGCTGTAAATGAAAGGGGTTTTTACCCCTTAATCCTGGAAACATGCAAAACTGCATCTGCTTTTTTTCTCAAAAGTCACTAAGATGACCAAGAACCAGCTGAGGGTAGGACTTAGCTTCAGTCCTGCCCTGGCTTCTGGACTCTGACTCAGGCCCGGATAACCTGACGGTCAGCAGATACATCCCTGTATTCATGCTGACACATCTTTTGAATCCATACTCACCTCTGCAGCTAGATGCAGAGGCAGAAACAAGTATTTATGTCAGAAAAGTCCTGAGCTAATCACTTTAGAGTGAGGACACAGCAGAAGTGAGAACAGCTGAGCTGACATTTAGGAACTCCTACAGTATATTCCCACAATTCTCTTTTACATCCCCAGGAGATTACTTCTGCTTTAAATACACTTGGATGCTGTCTAATTTCCAACCCCCCTCCCTGCCCCAAGTCAACCAACTTAACAGGTGATCCACAAGAATACATAAAGATTCTGGTTAATGTGTGGGATGAATAAAGCAGCGAACATGATCATAGAAGTATTTGTAATCTATACTGGAATGAGGGCATCAAAAGATGCTGCAGAAGGAAGGAACTCTGTGGGTGTTTGTCCCAGATAGGTGGATCACTCAGTTGATTTAGGTCACCTCATAAGACAAATGACAGTAACCTGCAAGCCTGCTAATGCTCCACCCAGCTGCCTTTAATAGAAGAACCTGCCTGAGCAAGGAGCCTGTAGCTTGGCATAAGAGTCTTCCAAACAAGGCTGTTTAGTTTCAGTGCTTTTTAGGTCAGGGCAAATGGGAGAGGATAGCTGCAAAAGCAGCTCCTCCACCAGATCCATGTGGTGGGAAAATGTCTTGGTCACACAGAGAGATGAGGACAAAGGAATGCCCTGGAATCTATAAATGGGCACAGAATTGGAGAGCAGTCCAGGCAAAAAGAGGTAGCTGGACAGGAATCAGAGTCCAGGCTACCTTGGGAGGAGTGACAGGTACTCCTTCCATTCTCACTGTCAGCACAATGCAGCAGAAAGAAAGAGAGCAACTTCAAGGTCGTATTTATTAAAGCCTAGTCTGAACATTGACAAACTGGCAAGATTAACAAAACCAGTATTTTGCTAACTTCATCTTTGTTCTGTGGCTGTAGCTTTATATTGTCCTTGTGAGATAGGTCCAACAATCCAGGAGAAAAATAATTTTTAAGTAAACATTGTACAGCTTCCATGCCAGTCACCTTCTCCTCAGCTCTAGTGCCTTCATTGTGTCACACAAGACGAGTGACAGCAGGAAGCTCAACCTTTGCAGACTTGCTGAGACTCTTGTTACAGCTGCAGTGTGTGTGCTGCCACGCCAGCAGCTGGACAAGGACTGGGAAACAGGGTTGCTTCCCTTGACCCTCTCCCCCTGGAGGCTCCCTGCTCCTCCTCACCAAAGCTAAAGCTCCACCTCTGCAAAGGGGTTCACGGTACTGTCCTGAGCCCTACATGTGGAATGCAAGAGGGTTTTGTTTGCAAAATTATGTAGAAATAATGTTGGATAGCAATCAGAAAGCAGATACCATCCTCCCCCCTTTAAGAAGTCATTCAAATGCAAATAACTACCGGATTCATGTCCCCATTGTGCAAGGCCTAGGTCCTGTCCAAGGCAGTATCACCCCAAAAAACTGGCACGCACTAACTCCTCATCCCAAGTCTGTTACCTAAGTGAGAGTCAATGGCCTTAAGCTGACAGGGAGTCACTGACCCATGATAAAAATCACAGTAGAAAACTAGCAAGTTTTGCTGCTGCGATCACTGATTTCTAGGAGAAAAAAAAAAAAGCTATTTTAATTCCAGTCAAAATTAATTTCATAACATTTGGAAACAGAATTTTTCAAAAAACTAAATGCCACATTGTAGAGGACTAAGCCACTAACCAGCTACAATTCTCAGAAAACTGTAAATCAAAGATATTTGTTTCGTGTACAAATATATAGTGTACATTTAAGGCACTGAATTTTCACAAAATCTTTCAAGAGATTGAAATACATAACTCTAAAGCTGGGTTTTGGTTTGGTTGGTTTTTTTTTTGTTTTTGTGAATACAGCATTTTTTCAGTGTTCCACATAAAAATAAGCAGCATGCGTGCCACAGGCACAAGACACAACCCATGATTTTTTTCAAAACCCAATGATTTTGAAAAATCCTGTTACTAATCCACAAAGCTGTCTAACCAAATAAAAAGCAGTAATGAAAGTCTTTAAAAATCTAAACAAAAAAGCCTTTTCTCTAGTGATACAGAAAGAAATATAGTAAACCCATGGTATCTTAAAATAGATTTATCTGTTCTCAGTAGTGATAGGTTAAATTACACATGCCTATTTTAGATTTCAAGATAAGAGTTTACTTATAATGGTAGCATTATGTTTTTAAAAATCACATTTGAAATACTATATAAATTCTCTGAAGTTTTCGCTTGTCAAATTTTTAACAATTTTGAAATGAAATTTTAACAGATAACAGATTAAGAAAGATGCAGTCAAAAAAACTTGCATGATAAGAGTATAGCTTTTATATTATTATTTTTACTGCTTATGTAGTGTCAAAACCTGCTTGCAAATACATCTGTTATCTGTTTCTAGATATAGATACCATCCTCACAATTGCAAAGCTAAGGTATGGCATGCAAAAAAACCCCAAAAACATTTGAATGGGATATAACACAGAAGAAATAAGCAACTTTCTAAGTCAGTTTCATATCAGTTCATAGACAGACTCCTCAATCACCTAGAGATCTTCTCCAGTCTTGATCAAAAAAGAAATACAGACACAAATGTAAGAAATCGGCATTTGCTATCCTGAAACTATTTGCAAACCTCACTATACCGATCCATAAAAATAATATTCAGTTTGCAAAAGAATGACGCAGTGGGTAAGGATTTTTTTTCTTTTAAAGGTTTTTTACATTAATTTATCAGATATAAAATAAAATGTGACCATTTTCATTGCTATTACAAAAACAATTTCTGATATTCAGAGATCAATATGAAATACACAGATAGCCTTACTAGTTTGCACTGCGATTCTGAGAATTTACAATGATTAAACCCGTGGTACAGTCAAATGATCTTAGTTATTTTGATCAGAAAATATCTACCTCTCAGGAAAAATGTTTTTAATAAATACAGGGAGTAACGCTAGTGGAAACTCTGTTGCAGTTAAAAAATTTGAAGGTAGCATACTGTAACTAAACCCAGGTGTTTTCTTCTTAACTGATTTTCAAAATAACACCTAAAGAATAATACAGCTTATTCCCTATATTAAACAAAACCAGGACTCATTAATAACAATCACATCTAGTTCTAATGCAGAGATTTTTATCAATAGCTAGCAGTTAAACACAGTAATAGACCTGTCATTTTCTACTGTCTTCACAAATACTTTGACATCACATATCTGACATCTAAAAGTAATAATGATTTTAAAAATAGGTGTTTCAAGATCTCTTATTACAAAGGCAAAAGTGCTGACAAGGAGTTTTTCTTAGCAAATAGCTGTGCAGACTTAAACGGTGTAATCAATTACAGATTTCTTGAAAATTATTAACTAATTATGACCTATCAGATAGAGGGTGAAAGCAAACAAGAATCACTTTCAGTTACAATGTTCAGGAGAACTGTTTACAGTTCTGTCTTTCAGAGGTACTTTTGCTGCTTCTCCTGCATAACCAAACGTCACAGCTATTCAGAATCTGCCAGTTTATCATTCATATAGATTTTTTAATTTGTTTCATCCATGCTCAGTAAGGAAACCAAATGGTGTTTCTGCATCCAGAGACCCAAAGTCGGTTTTCATAAAAATACAAAGCTCAGATATCACGGAAATAATTCCATTCTGATCCTCACATGAGAGTTGATTTTGACCTCTCAGAACGGAAATAACTTGTGAAATCACGGGTGGCCTTGCATGCAGAATAAAAGCAAGATCGAGCTTGAAATTAATTTTTTTTCTGATGTTCCTATGTATTTATATGTAAACACACTGAAAATGCACAGCAGTTTGCTATGTACAGCCTTGCTATTGATGGGAATGGGATCAAGCGGTCCATATTAATTTTTTGGAAAGAAGTTACGGTCTCATTGGGTGAAATGGCAAAACATCAGTTGATTTCAAGCAGAGCAGGATTTCAGCCCTGGTATTTGGGGGGAAAGGGTTATTTTTTTTTCTTTGCAAAATGCTGGGGTTTATGCTCTGTGTTTAAGCCTGCATTAATGAGAACACCTGAAGGATATGTCCCTCCCTTCCCAAAATAAATTCTGAGGAGACTCCTCCTGTATATCCTCCAGCTGTATGCGCTCTAATTAAAAAGGCTGCACTGCTTCCTGCTCAGAGCACTTCAAAAGGCCTCACTGCTCCCCTTGACAGTGCAGTGCCCGGTGCTGGTTCCTCTTACCTGTCTGTGCTTATTTATGGCAAGCACCACTCACTCGAAGCCATAAACTGCACCCGTATTTTATTCTGTCTGAAATGCATAGCATGTTTACAGGAAAGGCGTAGTAATGGTCAAACTAATCTTAAAAAAATAATAAAAAAAAAATAGAGTGTACGGAGAAAAATGCTGTTGCTTGCTCTTTTGTCTTCTCTTTTTTGGACATAAAAAGAAACTGGTCAGCGAATACGTGACCTTTTATTTTCTTACTGTCTGTTTGTTCTTAATTTTACATTGCATTAAGTAAAACCATGCAAGACTTTGTGTGTGGAAAAATACTTAACTTCTCATGAATACTGA